GCGTTGAAAAAAAATAAATCTACTTTGGTGATGATCCTAGGTGTCCTCAAGCTCCGTTCACCAGGCTATACAACCAATGTGTCATATATGTATTGAGTTGTAAAATACCTCTAACAACTGAAGTTGCTGAGCACAAATTATGGAGACATTAAACAAGGAAAAATTGCAGAACAATTAAAAAAACTCTTCCTTGGCATGCTAGTAGATGGGAATTCAGCTTTCACTTCAACATCAAAATGGAAAATTTTCTTACAGAAAGGACATTGTGTTTGAATAGGAATTAATTTGAGCTGTTTTGGAAATTATCATGTTTTCCATAAAGACAGCATTGATTTCATCCATTAGCATATTGAGATGCTTTCCCGTTTGACATTGGTCACAGAATTTAAAAGGAACAAGAACATTACTGCACATTCAGGAATCAGGTACACATAGAAGTTAAGGTCAGGACCTTGAAGGGAATCTTGTCCAGTGATATTAGGCCTACTTTTTAAAACATTCAGACATAATAAATTTACTACCAATCATTTTTTCAATAACAGCAATGATATATTTATTTTTCCCATGGACGCCTGCATTAAGCTTGTAGACTATTTTTATATTTCAGCATTTTTTTCTTTGAGTCCTTTTAAAAGTTGTTAAACAATCCTGAAATTTCCTTTACAGTATGCTGTTAACTAATTACATTTTTTCAAAGTCTTTTGGCATAATGATTGATTAAAGGAAGTATCTCCAGTATAATTACACTTGCTTATAACAAAAGAGTATTTGAAACTTGAAGCAAAAAGGTTAGACAAATTTATAATGAAATATAAATAAATATGTATACTATATAAGGCATTATTAATAAATATATATGAATAACCATCATAGAATGAAAAAATATTAATGTAATTAATTGAAGTAAAAATACATTCTAAATTAGAATAGAAAAGGGCTTAGAAAATGTTTTTAAATAATATGTTGCATAAATATAAAACTGTAAATATCACTCTGATGTTACTTATTTTGGAAAGGATATGATACAATGGGAATTTTCATATTCTACTCCTAGGATCATAAATCTGTACAGTCTTTTTGGCTGAGTATAGCATTATCTGATTAAGATGAAGGATCACATCCTAAGACCCAGTATTTACACTCTTATGCGAATACATATACATACACATGCATATCAGTGAGTTTCAGTAGCTAAGTTCCTTGGAATGTCTATCAGTTCTCCAAATGGGTAAACAAATTTGGCGTACTTATACAATGGAATACTATATAGTGATCAAAATTAACAAGACTGGCATGTTTACAACAGGATAATACAACAAAGAAAATGAACAAATTGGAGCTACATAGATAATAATACAGATGTGAAAGGAATTATTAAGATGGAAAAATACATTTAGAATAATCTCATTTACATAAAGTTTGAAAAAACATGGTTTTAATACAATGTAACTTGTTATATTGGTGATAAAACTCTACAGTGAAATATATGAGTGATCATCATAACAATTGGGATAGTCAGGAGGGAGGAGATAAAAGGGAAATATCAACAAGAAGACATATACTGGGAGTATCTGGATTGCTGGCAAATTCTATTTTCTGACCAAGGTGTGGTAACATCAATGTTAATGTTATAATTTTTTCTCTTACTGTTTATTAGGTTTTATTACTATCTGTATATTATGCTCCCCAATAAAAAAAACATTAAAAAAGCAGAAACATAAAATACATTTCTATGTATAAAATTAGGGTGATACAGCATATTCTCATAGATACCATTGTAATTAGATTTTTTTGCTGAATAAAGGAGAATAGAGCATTATGGTACTAAGAAATCCAATTTAAAATTTAAAACGTTTCTTTTTTTATTTTGAGACAAGGTCTCACTCTGTTGTCCAGGCTGGAGTGCACAAGCGCAATCTCGGCTTAGTGCAACCTCTGCCACCTGGGCTGAAGTGATTCTCTCAACTCAGCCTCCAGAGTAGCTAGGACAACAGGTGTGCACAACCACTCCCTGCTAAATTTTTCTGGTTTTGGTAGAGATGGTGTTTTTCCATGTTGTCCAGGCTGGTCTTGAACTCCCGTGCTCAGGCAATCCACCTGCCTCAGCCTCCCAAAATGCTGGGACTACAGTTATGAGCCACTACACCTAGCCCAAATCTTTTCTTAAATTAATTAAAAAAAAAAGATAAACAAGAACTGTAAATCCACCTACTTAATGCTAATATGAATTTGAAACATCAAAATTCGAATATTTATGATTGCTATACACCTTTTTTTCTTATTTCCAATTTAATTATTTATAATTCACATTTCAAAGTGTCAGAAAGTCGTGAATTTCCAATAAATTATAGTAAGATAGATATTAAATATATAGACCTATTATCCCAAAATGTGTCTCTAAATGAAATATGTATATTCATATTGTTAGCATTCTAATTTCACAATACTATTCATGTGTACACCTGTGTGTTGGGTTAAATATTTTGTTACTATAATTTTTTGGTTCTGCATTAGAGAAAAAAAAATCATAGAAAGGCAAATTTGTTAAAGTATAAAACCTATTTAGCATGATCTTTGAGTATGTTTGTGCATATATAATGCTACTTTGACTGCTATAGTAAAATAATACAGATTTACTCACTACACCTAAGAATGTAAAAAAGCATTTACAAGAACTCGGCTTGCTAATGATGCTTTTAAAAGATGAAATAAAGTTGATATGCTGTATATTACATACAGTATTTGTCTATGTTCATATTGAAAACTGCACAAAAGAAAACCAAAATAGAATCCTAATTGTTGGAGATCACTTTTGCTATGAATTTTTTAAAGTGTAATAAAATAAAAAAGCCAATAAATCATTGAAAATATGTTGGTTTTACTTTATTCTTGATGAAATACCATGTGAGGGTATTTGCCTAGGCCTGATGCTGAGAATCATAGAAGAATCAAGATGCCATGAGGAAAAATAATAGTGTTCTCTCATCACCCTGAACTCCAGTACTTAGAAACAAGACTGAAATCACATTTATGAAAAAGCATTCTTCCTTTCACCTGCCATCATCATTATCATCATTATGTATATCCACGTCTATCTCATTAAATGATTTATTTTTGAAATATTTAAGCACATAATTTGGAAAGTAAGTAATTTTAAAAAGATCATAATTGTTGGAAAGTTACAGGAGTAAACAGCAAAGTTTAAGTCAAGCTCAATACATTTAGATTTAGAAATTAAGTGTAGTTTATTTTACAATACATTGCTTAAGCAAATAATTATTTATGGATGAGCTTAAAGTAATCCTCTTTTCACTATGATCACGGTAGAAATAATTTAGATTTTAGTGTAGCTAAAACTCCCTAATAAGAAAGACAAAGCAAATAACACATTTTATGAGCAAGCTTTTCTTTTCTAAAGAGCGGGTTTTAGGACCAAATTTTCAAACAGAAGTAAGACCTCAGATCTTCTGTCACACTTGAGTGAGTGATGATGGAGTTCGAAGGTTATAGTTCTATAACCAAAACTATATTCAAGGATATGGATTAAATGGTGGAATTCCATAGAAGCACCAGATTCAGTTTTGTTTCCATGGGTCTAAAAGTCCTTCAATCTTTCATAAACTTGTAAGTACTGTTTTACAATTTGATCTTTTAAAGATGTTATAAATGAAGAAGACTTGATTCCTGCTAATAAAAACAGAGTAAAATTTAAGTCATGGAATAGAATGGTGGAGCTGAGGTTAGATACTATATTTTACTAATTGTATGACATTTGAGATCCAGTGCTGCTCACTGAATTTCCCTGTGAGGAGAGTTTGTGGTGATGACCCAACAATAGACAAGCTACTATCCAAAAAAAGCTATCACAGCAAATCAATTTCCAGTTTCTTCCAAGTTGCAGGAGAAGGCTTAGACCATGATTTTAATCTCTTCTGTGACCTGAGTATTACAAAAAGAAGAAAATCACTACCATTTTCATTTCAGGTATACTAAAAATTTATAACAACTCCTTTTTTAAGAACTTCGCATTAGGAATACGTTGTTTAGTTTCTCCATTAAAAAAATGATTTATAGAAGGAAAACTAAAGTTCATTTCTACCCCTAAAACAATAAGATAAAAACGGGTAATCAACATTGAGAATCCAATAGACAGAGGTAACAACCAGTTAAACATAAGAGGAAAGAATTAGTGAATTGGAAGATAACTACCCAGAATGAAGCATAAAGAGACCAAGGGATACAAAATATAAGGCTAGAGGGTCAGAGATATTTAAGCTACAATCAGAACAACTAACATACTTCTGGAGTTCTGGAAGATTAGAAGAGAGAAAATGGGGCAGAAGAAATGTGGATGTTTTTCCAAAAGTGATAAAATATATCAGTTCATATATTTTTAGAAACCATCAAACTTCAGACAAGATAACTAGAATTAAATTAACATAAAATGATAGGACATCAAAGACCAATAGAAAACCTGAAAAGTAATAAGAGGAAAAGACAGATTACATTAAAGGGAATAGCAGTCTAAATGACAGCCTGATTTTCAACAGACAAAAATGAAGGTAGAGTTCAGTGGAATCATGTCTTCAGTGTATTTCAAAAGTAGTATACACCTTGATAAACAGAAACTTAAAATGATATTTTTTCAGATAAAAGAAAAATTATTATTATTTTTGTATGTAGAGTTGGAGTCTCACTCTGTTGTCCAGGCTGGAGTTCAGTGGTAGGATCATGGCTTACTGCCGTCTGGAACTCCTGGACTCAAACCATCCTCCCACCTCAGCCTTATGAGTAGCTTCACGATGCCTGGCTAAGATTTTCATTTGTTGTAGAGGGAGTTTTGCTGTGTTGCACAGGCTGGTATTGAAATCCTGGGTGCTCCTGCTCCAGCCTTAGAAAATGTTGGGATTATGGGTGTGCGCCACCCTGCCTGGCCAATAAAGGTACTTATTGAAAATATTCAGTTGAATATTCAAGAAGGAAAACAAATTAATGAAAGTGGTAAATATGTGTATAATTGTAAATGAATGTTTACTGTATAAAATAATAATGTCTTGTTTGGGTAATTATATAATTGATAAGACATATGCAAATGGCAAAAAATAGACTGGAGGTAAAGGTGACAGGAGTAAATTTAGTTAAAGTAGTTTTTGAACTTTTCTATGTCTATGAGGAGACTTTGAACAATGACCCTGTATTTCTATCCAAAAGCATATATACAAAGAAATTGAATCAATGATATATGAAAGAATACTATAGTAGAATTATTAATAACTGTTCAAAAAAGAAGCTGGCCAAATATATATTAAGGATGGATGAATCATTACAGTAAATCCATACAATGGAACAATATAGAGAAGTGAAAAAAAATCACATGTACTTGCAACTATGTGACTAAATTTCAGAAACATAATGTTGAGTCCAAGAAGCCACAAACAAGAAAAACATGTAGGATTTCATCTACACACAGTGCAAAGCAGGCCAGACCAAGCTATGCAGTTTAGGGTTGCATACCCAGGTGGTAAAGTATGAAGAAAATTAAGGAAATAATCATTATAAATTATGGATATTGCTTATCTCAGGAGGTGTGAAGAAGGGTTTAGTTGCTTGGAAAGTGGCATGGAGGTGGACCTGGGCTGTTTTCAGTGTTCCTTGTCTTGCTCCGCATCATGATTACTTGAGTGTTTATGATACACTGCGGTATTTCCCATTTTGTTTTGGTTCATTTCCAAGTGTGCATTATAATTTTAATATAAAAATTTTTAATTAAGAGAAATGTCTCATAGAAATTATCATTACTCACCTCATTATATACTGAGGGGAAAATAAACTACTTGTATACATTCTTATACAACTCTAAGAGAGCTGAAGTGAGAACTTTCTTGTTTAGTTGCAACGTGAGGAAATTTGAGACCGTGTTATCTGCCACCCCCAGATTTTTCCAAAGGATTTCTTCTAGCCATAGTTTTCTACCTCACAGGAACAAATATTTGCCATTCCCCATCCATTTTTTCTTTTGGCTCCTGAATTCCTGACACAACAAGGTTGTATGTATTTCCCACACTCTTGTTTAGCAGAGTTCGTTTATCAGTTATGTTTCTCTGCAAGAGAAACCCTCCAAAACTACATTAGACATTTATATATCACATGTTTTGTATTTCATTTTTCTAAATGAGTTTGGTGGATGACTGTGGTGATTTGAGATGGGCCAGATTCTGCATCTTGGAGGTCCTTAGAGTTTGACCAATTTAGTCTGGATCAGGTGGGGACAATCTGCCTTCATTAGTTTCTGATTCTCCTCTGGGAACAGTGTGCTAGCCAGGCGATATTCTCATTGTAAATGGAAAGAGGAAGAATCCCCAGTATGGAAGCCATCTCAAATCTCTATGCAAAGTGTAGTAATTTTCTGTTCATGAAAGTAAGTAAATGATTGAACTCCAAGTTCAGGGGAAAGGCAATCTTCCTGTGATGGGAGGATGCTGCAAGATTATATATGAAAGGGTTTGGTAGTCAGGAATACTTATAAAATTGCTGAATATTTTAATTAAATAATAAATATTTAAACATTAGGCTTCGGAGAAACTTTACCAAAGACCTAAGAATTAGAGATATGTTTGATAAATAAATATTATTCATGGGCTGAAAACCCTGAGTGGGAAAACAGGACTAATTTCAGCTGGACAACCTCTTGGAAACTCATTTTTTTATTTTGGAAATTATGAGAAAATAATTCATTCCATTCATAGGTGGAGGGCACATGTGTTTGTTTGTGTGTGTATTTATGAGCTTGAGAATAATGAAGTCACACAAAAGTATTAGCAGCAACCAGATCTTATGGAGTACTGGCCTGCCTGTGGTTCTCAAGTAAATCTTAGATGCTTTTGATAAAATAAGTTTGGATTCTGTGTATTTAAATCTGGCGTTTAAAAAAGACTGTATAGGTGATGATCTTAGTTATGACCAAGCTCCCTTTAAGAATTTAGACATTTACTATATGATCTCTGTATTGGGTTATAAAACTTCCCTAACAACTAAAGTCATTAAAGACAAATGATGGAGAGGTTACACAAGGAAAACTTGCAAACACTGAAAGTTAATATGTCCTTGTTTGCACACTAGCACCTGAGAATTCAGGTTTCATGTCAACTTCAGTATGAATAATTCCAGTGTATAACAAGAACAGACAGCGAATGAATGAGTTAATTTGAGTTGTTTTGAAAACAAGAATGTTTTCCATAAAGACAGCATTGAACTCATCCATTAGCATGCTATGGTGATTTCTGGCTTGACACTGGTCACAACAATCAAAAGTAAAAAGAATGTCACAGCAGATACACAAATCAGGTGCATATAGAATTTAAGGTCAGGATATTCAAGCAATCACAACCAGTGATATTACACTAGCATTTAAAAAATTTCTCTTTGTCTGTTCAGATATGATAACTTTTCTGTCCATCACATTTTCCATTCTAGTAGGGGTTATATTTGTTATTGGAAATTTTGCTAATGGCTTCATAGCATTGGTAAATTCCATTGAGTGGGTGAAAAGACAAAAAATCTCCTTTGCTGACCAAATTCTCACTGGTCTGGCTGTCTCCAGAGTTGGTTTGCTCTGGGTATTATTACTACATTTGTATGCAACTGAGTTTAATCTAGCTTTTTATAGTGTAGAAGTAAGAATCACTGCTTATAATGTCTGGATAGTGACCAACCATTTCAGCAACTGGCTTTCTACTAGCCTCAGCATGTTTTATTTGCTCAAGATTGCCACTTTCTCCAACCTGATTTTTCTTCACTTAAAGAGGAAAGTTAAGAGTGTCATTCTGGTGACACTGTTGGGGCCTTTGCTATTTTTGGTTTGTCATCTTTTTGTGATGAACATGAATCATATTGTGTGGAGAAAAGAATATGAAGGAAACATTACTTGGAGGATCAAATTGAGGAGTGCAATGTACCTTTCAAATGTGACTGTAACCATGCTAGCAAACCTTATACCCCTCACTCTGACCCTGATGTCTTTTCTGCTGTTAATCTGTTCTCTGTGTAAACATCTCAAGAAGATGCAGGTCCACGGCAAAGGATCTCAAGATCCCAGCACCAAGGTCCACATAAAAGCTTTGCAAACTGTGACCTCCTTTCTCCTGTTATGTGCCATTTACTTTCTGTCCATGATCCTATCAGTTTGGAATTTTGAGCTGGAAAAGAAACCTGTCTTCATGTTCTGCCAAGCTGTCGTATTCAGCTATCCTTCAACCCACCCACTCATCCTGATTTGGGGAAACAAGAAGCTAAAGCAGATTTTTCTTTCAGTTTTGTGGAACGTGAGATACTGGGTGAAAGGACAGAAGCCTTCATCTCCATAGATTCACGAGAGGGGCATTGTGTGTCTTCTAGCAGAAAACAAACTGGTAGTGTATGAAACATTTTCTATTTCTTACTGTGTTTTCTGTAATGTATGTGTATATGAATAATTTCAAAATGTATACCTAGAAAAGTCTTTTACCTAAAGTTAGTCTAGAAAAGTATATGTGTGTGTGTGCATTTATGTGTGTATGAAAAACTGAAGAACATTGACAATAACATGCTTTTTATTATTTTTCCACAAAAACTGCCAAACTATAGAAAATAATTCCTTAGAATTATGAAGCCATGTTTATTTTATATATGTATTTTATATTTCATTTGAAGAATTTATGTCTATTTATAATTATTAAGAACTAACAGCTTAGCTCAGGAAAATATTGCTTTTTTCTTTTGTTATGAACCACACAAATATACCACAGTGTGCTTAGAATTCGTTGTTTTAACCTACAACTTTCTGGATAATAAGGTCATTCAATTCTAAATCAATAATGAGGATATATCTTCAGGGTTTTATTCCATGACGAATTTCTATTTTATGCTTAGTAAAAAGCAATCAGAATTATTGTTAGAAAACAATGTACACAAAACAATTCGAGTGACAAGCATACGTTGAGTAAATTTTGTCTATGTCTACCATAAACTACTGATGAATGTTAGATTTAATATAAGTATGTGAATAGCTTAGAGAAAAATCTCTTCTATAAGAGGGATCGAAAAATCATTATCATGATCTTGATTGCTGTTATCAGCTTCCATATGCAGTTAGAAAAGTCATTTCTTCCAGGTTTGAATTAAAGAAATGCTTGTTTTGAAATTGAGCTCTGATGTAAATTATTATAGTATTTTTTCTAAAGCACTTCTAAGCTCCTGAATTGCTAATTATATCCTTATCTTCCATTTATCAAATTCCTTCTAAACTTCAGATAAGAGAACTGCAATCTTCCCTTTTCTAAAAAAAACTATCAATGTGAAACTACTACAGAAATTATGGAAAATAATTCAGTTAAACTTTCTGTAAATGTTAAAATAGTATCTATGAAATCTATGTATTAATTATAGGATGTGCCCTAGTGTTGTAATTTTGTTGTCAGTGGTGAAATGGAAGTGTGTTGACATATTCATTAATAGGAAGTTCCATTATAAGAAGGAAATGTACAGTTTTGTTCACAGCTAAATTCTATATGACTGTATTAATTCTTGGTGTTATGAAATTTTAACAATGTTGTTTTAACCTTAAGATAGATCATCCCCACACCTGATTTATGTACTTTTTAAAATCATGTATCATCCTCTGTACAATGTAAGTACGCTAAAGGAAGAAATCGTGTCTGCCTGGCTCTCTGTTGAATCCCAGGACCTAGAACCCAGCACCAAGAATAGATGGTCAAAAATGATATTTTAATAAACAAATAAATGGGTGGATAAAACACATAAGTTGATGTGGTAAACCAATGAAAAGGAAACCCATCACAAAATCTGCAGTTGCATGAATTCCTCTGTTCTGGTCTCAGGTTGAGGTTACCGGCTTATCCAAGAAGAATCATTCCTCAGAGGAAAAATTTGGCTATTCCACAATTTTAGGGGAAATATCATACTAATAGAGTCTTGATGCAGCTGTATCAGGTGTCTGAATTGGAGATAAGGTAGAACATCAAAATTAGATGGCACCTATGACAATATTTTTAAGAAGCATATAAAATACTTTGATCTATTTGCATATGTATTTTTTACTGTGAATTATATATTTGTATTACGATATTTTCTTGTTGGTTATCATATAAATAATTCATTTCCTTTCAAAAAATTGAGTTAGTAATCAGCTACTTTACTAAAATATTTTTAATGTAATACCTTATATTAAAGCGATGACATTTATTTGGAAGGCAAGTTCAAGACAAAAATGGCAGGGAAATATGGAAATTGACACAAGAACAAATGTGAAACAATGTGTGGTGATGTCTGGTGTGACTCTGCTGGCAGCCACTTCACAGTGAGGTGAGAGAGACAGCACGGTGGTCATCAGATGCATGCACTTGGCTCCTAGCATTTTTCCAGACAGGCTACTAGGGCAAACTGCAGCTGGCATTAGTCCATGGAAGAGAGAGAGGAGGGAGAATGTATCTGCTCAGCTGTCATTAGTGTTGTATTTCCCATTGGCCGTGGTATTCCTGAGGCAGAACAACCATCTCTGTTGTTCTGCCTTACATCATCCAGTCCCTTGGTGGAGGTTATGGAAGTCAGACTTCATGCCCACAGTGTGGTGATGCATTCAAGTTCCAAATGGAAGGACGATCTGCATCAGGCAAGGGGTGGATGAGGGGAATGGGAGATAGTGAAGGGAATCTAGGAAAGCACGTGTCTGTGTCCAGTGCAGTCCAATCCTTTTGCCACTCAGATGTGCTCATGCCCTCCAGTCATGGCTGGCTTTCAGAGCATATGACTTGCAGAGTTGCACAGGGTTTTGTGCCTAGAGGAGTGTGTGCTTATACGAACTCTATGCTTGGATTAATGTTCTGCACTTGCTGTTTTGTTTTTCAGACAGAGGATACTTATCTGCTGAAGAGGCAATGTTCTTGCACTAATTCCATAAGGATTTGCTCTCCCGTCTCCTATAGGCTTCTCAGTGACATGCATAGTGTCCTATAATGCCCACTATGCATGCCGCTAGCAGCTTTGAATTCCGCTGGATCATCTGGCACAGTGACCAGAGCAGCTTGGACCACAGCAGCTTGGACTGGAGCCTGTATCTGCGGTAGAGCCCTCTTTTGTTCTAGGTTCCACTTGAGAGCAGTAGCCTTTAGAAACTTCATTCATGAGTCAGAGCAATATTCTCAAATGTGGAATATGTTAGCTCCAAAATCCCAATAGGCTTTCAAAACATTGTGCCTCTTTTGTAGTGATAGGAAATATATGGAGAGAGCAACATGCCTTTTTCTTTAAAAAAAAGATTGTTTTAACATGTAGACAGGGGACACTGAACGCCTTAAAACATCACTTATGTTTATGTTCCTGAATCTTCTCCTATTTCTCTCTTTCCTTCTGGTATTTTACTTCCGCTCAGTGTTACAGTATTTTATTATATTTAAGAAACTTGCCACTTCCTGATTATTGTACCAAGTTATATATTATTATTATTGCTATTATTTTGAGACAGAGTCTCATTCTGTCCCTGAGGCTGGGGTGCAGTGGCAGGATCACAGCTCATTACAGCCTCAACCTTCTGGGCTCAAGTGATTCTCCCGCCTCTGCATTGCTAGCCGCGGGGACTGCAGGGGCGCACCACCACGCCTGGCTAATTTTGGTACTTTTTGTTGGGCTGGGATGTCACCGTGTTACCCAGGCTGGTCTCAAACTTCTGGGCTCAGGTGATCCGCCTGTATCGGCTTCCTAAAAGTGTTGGGATTGCAGTCATGTGCCACAGGGCCCGGTCTGTAACATTATTAATATATTAAATTAGCAGAATATTTTTAAAAAAATGTAAATTAAACTGAGAACAGAAGTGACATAACCTTGACATAAAACAGTGAAGCAGTGCTATTGTTCTTAATACAAGGCAAATTGTTTTGATTTTCCCTCATAATGGGTGTAGATTAAGAAACATTCACCAAATCACGAGCCCCGTAAAAAGTACCAGAAGCTCTGCTCTGCTCAGTGAAGATAGCACATCCTGGAAAGCTTTTGTAAGTGCTGATTTAAGTTTTAGTAGTCTGCATTCATTCTATAACCCATCTGGTTTTGGTAGAGGCCAGGTAGGTTAAGTGAATAGAGATACAAAGAGACTATCATTCCCTGTAACTTTAAAGTACTTTGTCATGGCAGTGACCAATTCCATTCTTTAGGGAATGCAGTTATTATATTTTATACATTGTGTTGCCAGTAGAGGAGAATTTCAGAGGCTTCCCCTTGGTCCTGCTATAATAATGTCCCTTACCCTACAGTTCAGAAAGAATGTGACAGTTCTGACAGCTGCCATACATATCCATTTCAATTACACATTCAGGAAGAGGTAATACTACAAACTGATTAGATCCACCTTGGGATGGACATGAACCGAAGCTCTGGATAGCATCTGACCTTCAAAACTCCCACTGCAGGCTGGATATGATGGCTCAAGCCTATAGTCCTAGTACTTTGGGAGGCCAAGATAGGAGGATTCCTTGAGAGCAGCAGTTCCCTGTGCAGCCTATGGAGACTCTATCTCTCTATCTCTACAAAAAATTGAAAAATTAGCTGGCGTGGTTGTGCATGTTCCAAATACTTGGGAAGCTGAAGCAGGAGGATTGCTTGAGCCCAGGCGTTCGAGGCTGCAGTGGGCTATAATCCTGCCACTGTACTCCAACTTGGGTAACAGAGGGAGACTGTCTCAGAAGAAGAAAAAAGAAGTGTAAGTTCTCACTGGTATCTTAAATATCAAGTAAAATGGGATCAAATCAATAATTAACAATCTTTGGTTCCTGCCTATAGCAAATAGGTAAAATTGAAAGTAGTTATACAAAGAGTATATTAACTCCTAACAAAATTAACCAAAGACAATTTTATTTTCATCTGCTTTCTTTGTTGTTTTTTTTTTTTTTTGAGACAGGGTGTTGTTCTGTCTCCCTGCTGGAGTGCAGTGGCGTGATCTTGACCAATTACAACCGCCATCTCCTGGGTTCAAATGATTCTCCTGCCACAGCCAACTGAGTAGCTGGGATTATAGGCGTGTGTGACCACACCTGACTAATTTTTGTATTTTTAGTGGGGACAGGGTTTCACCGTGTTGGCCATGCCAGTTTCAAACTCCTGACCTCAGGTGATCCACCTGCCTTGGCCTCCCCAAATGCTGGAATTATAGGCCTGGGACACCATGCCCAGCCTATCATCTGCTTTTTATAGGTAATTATACTGAGGCAGGCAGTAGTTGTAAAATGCAGTCTCACATCATATCTATTGGAAGCAGGGTATCTGGTTTCCTGTCTTCGCAGTCTGACTGGAAGATCCCCTCTTAGAAACCATTATACTGTAAGAACTGAAAAGAAATGAAATCCAAGATTGGAGACTTATTTTTAATATCTATTCATCTTAAATCATTTAGTAAGCAAAAATAAATTAAATAGGGAAAAACAAAGCTGAATATTCATACACAGAGAAGTGCAGATTTTTCAATGGAAAACATGTTTTTTAAGAGTACAAGGAATAGTTATAAAATTTCTGAGTATTTTAATTAAATAACTAAGATTTAAGTATTAGACTCAAGAGAATTAAGAGAGATTGTTTGCTAAACATTGAAAATACGCTAAAAGCCCAAGTAAGAAAATTAATTAATTTTTCATTTTAGAAATTATAGGACAATAATTTTTCCCAACCGTGAAGGATGTGTATGTTTGTGTGCGTGTGAATGTGTTTATGTTAATGAGCTTGTTAACAATAAGTTATACAAAATTATTAATTAGCAGCAACCAGATTTTAAGGAATATTGGCATTTCTGGGCTTCCCAAGAAGACCTTGGATGCTTTTGGTAGGAAAAGTTGGGATTCACTCTCCATAAAATCTGGGATCAAAAAAGTGAATCAACAGTGGTCATGATTCTAGTTTTGACCAAGCTGCATGTAACAGTGTAGGCATCCGATGTATGATTTATGTATTAGGTTGGAAAATTTCCCTCACAACTGACATTGCTGAACAGAAATGATGGAGAGGTAAATCAAGGAAATACATTGCAAATTGATGAATAAGAATATGACCTGATTTGCATGCTAGCAAATGAGAATTCAGCTTTCACTTCAACATCAGTATGAAAAATTTTATCTTATAACAAGGACCTAGTATTTGAATAGAAGTTAATTTGAGCTGTTTTGGAAATTATCATATTTTCCATTAAGACAGACTTGAACTCATTCAGTAGCATGCCCTGGTGCTTTCCTGCTTGATATTAGTCAGAGAATTTAAAAGGAACAAGGACATTACTGCACAACCAGAAATCAGGTGCACATAGAAATTAAGGACAGGACCTTAAAGAGAATCTTACCCATTGACATTAGGCCTGCCTTAAAAAATTTCGGACATGGTATGTTTACCATTAATCATTTTTTTTTTCCAAAACAGTAATAGTCGAATTCATATTTTCCCATGGGCACCTTCATTATATTTATAGACTATTTTGATATTTTAGCCTATTATTTTCTTTGAATCCTTTTAAGGAGTTGTTAAACAATGTTGAAATTTGCCTTACAGTATGCTGTTAACTAACCATATTTCTTAAAGTCATTTGACATAATGTTTGATTAAAGGAAATATGTCTAGCATAATTATACCTTTTTATAACAAAAGAGTATTTAAAACTTTAAGAAAAATATTAGAAAAACTATTAAAGGAATATGAATAAATAAATACATGAAATATATAATTCATTATTAATAAATGTGTGTGAAAATCATGGTCATAGAATTTAAAAATAGAAACAATTTTTGAATTAAGGATACATTCTGAATTATAATAGAAAAAGGCTTCAAAAATGTTAGGTTTAATAATGTTTCACATAAATATAAAACTGTAAAAATTAGCCTGTTGTTACTTATTTTGGAAAGCGTATGAACTAATGGGAATTTTCATACACTGCTCCTAGAATGGTAAATCACAGCAATTACTTTGTATGAGTATGGCTTTATCTGGTTAAGATGATGGATCACATCCGAAGACCCAGTATTTGCACTCTTATCAGAATACATATACATACACATGCATATCACTGTGTTTTAATAGCTAAAGTTGAGAAGTCTATTGAATGTCCATCAGTGATAAAATGAATAAAATATGGCATACTTTTGCAATATAATACTATACAACAATCAAAATGAACTGTCGGAAACATGTGCTTGGAGTAGCCAAAAGAAATCAGCACTTGGACAGAAAATTTCTCAGCAAGGCACCTTTACATTGGCGGAGGGGTGCTGCTTGCACCTGTTACAATCCCAAGAGCACACCTAACAAAGGAGGGAAGGAGTTTTTAATCCTAACACAGTTCCTGTTTCTGTGTCCTTTGTCTATTGGTTGGAGTTGGACTGCACAATCTAAGCTGATCCTGAATGGCTTAAACTTTTCCAAATAGGGTAAATGCATGATTTTCAAAAAGAAGGAGGGGTGAGAAGTAGGATTCATTTACATTTATAACTTATGGCTGGAAAGCTGAGTCTTTGAAGAGGAACTTAGTTGTCCCAATAGAACTAACTAGAGTGACATATTTACAAAGAATATAAATAAAAACAAAAATGAATAAATTTGAGCTACATAGGTATGAGAGGAATTAAGTTTGAAAAAGGGTTCAGTATAATTCCATTTATATAAAGTTCACAAAAATATATTTTTAATAAATTGCAATTTATTACATTGGTGGCAAAATTCTAAAGTGAGACATATGAGTGATTATCATAACATTGGGATAGTAGGGATGGAGGAAACAAAAAGGAAATGATATCAACAAGAAGGCATGTGTGAGGAGTGCCTGGATTGCTGGTGAATTCTGCTGTATGACCAAGATGCCGTAACATGACTCTTAATGCTATATATTTTTTCTTTACTGTACCTTTAAGCCTTATTACTTTATATATATATGTTATGTTTCACAATAATGAAAATGTTTAAAAAGTAGAAACATATACGAAATAAATGAATATAAAATAGACTGAAAAAACATATTCTTATAGACATCATTGCAGAGTTTTTTTCTGAATAAAGAAGAATAGAGCATTATGATAGTAAGAAATCCAAGATAAAGTTTTTAACTTTTCTTTAAATTAATTTTATAAAGAAGAGATAGGCAGGAAAATTACCTCCACATTCTCAATGTTATTCTTACTTTGAAACATCAGATTTTGAGCGTGTTTTACTAGACACCTTTTTTGCTTATTTACAATTTAATTATTTATGATAACAACATTGCAATGTGGCAGAAATTAGTGAATTTCCAATAAATTATAGTAGTATAAATATTAAATATATACAACAATTTTTAAAAAATTTATCCCTAAATGAAATAATTATACACATATTTTTGAAATTCAAAGATTATAATACTGTGCATGCGTGTGCATGTGTACACATGCGTGAGGAAAAATATTTTGATGCTACAAATTTTTTTAATATTAGAGAAAAATTAGTAGAAAGATAATTTTATTAAGGCATATAACAAGTAGTGTAACTACTTTGACTGCTATAATAAAATCACCCAGATTTTGTGACAGAAGCTGAGAATGTAAATAAGCACTCAAGAGAATTTAACTTGTTAATGATGCTATTAAAAGATGAAATGAAGCTTGTACACTGTATAATTGCACAGAGTATTTGTGTAAGTTCATATGAAAATGGAACAAAACTAAACAGCCAAAAAGAGAGTAATCTTTGCTGGAGGTTATTTTTGCCATAATTTTTAGAATGTGCTTAGAGAAAAAAATAGCAAGTAAATCAATGAAATATGCTGGCTTTATGTTATTCTTGATGAAATACTATGTGAGGGTATTTGTCTAGGCTTGATTCTAAGAATAATATAAGAATGATGCCAAGCACAGTGGCTCATGCATAAAATCACAGCAATCTAGGAGGCCAAGGCAGTGGATCACCTGAGGTCAAGAGTTCCAGATTAGCCTGGCCAACATAGTGAAACCCTGTCTCTACTAAAAACACAAAAATTAACTGGGTGAGGTGGTGGGCACCTGTAATCCCAGCTACCTGGGAAGTTGAGGCAGGATAATTGATTGAACCAGGGAGGCAGAGGTTGCAGTGAGCCGAGACTGCACCCTTGCATTACAGCCTGGGTAACAAGAGAGAAATTCCGTCTCAAAAAAAAAAAAAAAAAAACTCATAAATCCAGGAGGAAGACTAAGAGTGTTCTCCCAGCATCCTTAACTCCAGTACTTTGAAAAGACGACCCTAATCACATTTATTAAATAACATTCTCTCTTCTAGCTGACATCATCATCATTATTATCATCATCTACATTTACATCTGTCTTATTAAATGATTTATTTCTGAAATGTTTACATACATAATTTGGGTAACGTCTGTGTAATTTCTGAGAGATATTCTGGGAAAGTTATATTAGTAAACAGCAAAGTTCTTGTCAAGCTGAATACATTTAGATTTAGAAAGTTAAGTGTAGTGTAGTTTAAAGTACACAGCCTAACAAACAATTATAGATGGTATTAAACTAATCCAAGGAACACTATAAAAAGATTTTGATTTTAGTATAAATAGAATTGCTTAATAACAAAAATAAATAAACCATTTCATGATCAAGCTCTTATTTATAAAGAAAGGATTTTAGGGCTAAATAAATCAAAGAGAAGTAATCCCTCCCCAAAATCTTCTCTATTTCATTTAGGTAATGATGGAGTTCAAAGGCACAAAGCTGCATTTCTACAACACAAGCAAAGTGAAAATTAATTCGTGGAATACAACAATGTAGCTGTGGTTGATGAACTATATTTTATCTATTGCAAATATTTATCATTATTTGATATACATATGGGCAGCTTATTTTTTGAGCTACTATGAATAATGCTTCAATGAGCTTTCTTTCACATCATTTGCTACAGTACTTTTGCATACATATACCTCGGTGT